AACTCTGTCTAGTAGAGGCGCGCGCGCCTGCCTGTCGCTCCGACCGCCGCCTCGTCCTCGTAGTCGGCGTATGCATCCGCGTGGACCCGGAATCGCTCCGTTCTGCCTGTTCCCTTCGCCGCTCAGACCTTTGCAGAGCAGCGATCCGGTCCACCCCTCCACGGGCTTTGGCTGCAAACGTGGGTCCTCCCGGGGGGGCCCGCCTGGCTTCAGGCGTCTCCCTTAGAGCTCTGCTGAGAAGGCCCGAGGAACCTTTGGACGCCGCATAGTTTTTTCCCCCTCTTGACTCAGATTCTGGAGCCAAGAAGGAAAGAGGAACCCAGCGCCCCCCTTCTCCAGCTCTCCCCTGTAACGCGCGTCGCCCCTTCCTTCCTGTTCCCCCGTGTGCGCGGTTTCCTCGGAATGTTCCCCTCCGCTCCCTTCTGCTGAACTTGTTTCTTCCGTTGTCACTCGTGTTTGGGGTCTGAACTTAAACGTGGCTCACACAGGGAGTCCTTCCCCGGCTCCGAAGTGCAAGTCATTTTTCTCCCTCATGTGTTCTCGAAACAGCCTGTTCTTTCTCTACGTAGATCAAACTGCAATTGGTAAAAAAACAAAAAACCAACACGAATACGAAAAGCAAGAGGAACACCTGTTTGCATTTTTGTTTAATGTCTGTCCCCCGGGCTGACTTCAGGGTTGTGAGATCCCGGCCATCCCACAGAACTCCACCGTTCTTGGTTTCAGGGAGAAGGGCCCGTTCTTGGGTCAATGCTCTGCTGTCCTGTCTGGATCATCTTAGTTGTTGCAGCAGGGGTCACCCATCTTTATTTTGCACTGGGCCCCCACAAAATACACAGCAGGTCCTGTCTGCTCTCATTAATTCCCATGGCTCCTAGCCCTGGCCCCACATGGCCCCCGGAAGGGACCTAAAATAGGCTGGTTGAATCAGTGAAGGAGATTGCAGGGTCAGCAGGCCCCAGGTCTTTGTCTTCGTTTTCCATTCTCAGGCCCCTGTAAGTGAAATGTCAGCAGAAAGCTATTGGCAACTCCTTTTTTTTTTTAGAGTCAGGGTCTCACTCTCACTGTGTGACCCAGGCTGGAGTGCAGTAGTGTGGTGGCAATCAGAGCTCACTGTAGCCTTGACCTCCTGGGCTCCAGCCTCCTCCCATCTCAGCCTCTGGCGAAGCTGGGTCTTATTGGTAACTCCTTGGTGGGTTTCCTTTTCCTGGAAAGATAACCTGGTGATTCTTTCTTTTTTTTGAGTCAGAGTCTCACTCTGATGACCAGGCCAAAGTATAGTGGCACGTTCACAGCCACTGCAGCCTTGACTGGCTGGGCTCAGGTGATCCTTCTGCCTCAGCCTCCCAAGTAGCTAGAACCACAGATGTGCACCACCACACCAGTTAAGTTTTGTTTTGTTCTGTTGTAGAGATGAGGTCTCGCCAAGTTGCTCAGGCTGGTCTCGAACCCTTGGACTTAGGCCTCCACCTCCCAAAGTGTTGGGATTACAGGCATGAGCCACCACGTCTCACAACCTTGTGATTCTTTTTTTTTTTTTTTTTTTGGAGTTGTAGTCTCACTCCGTCGCCCAGACTGGAGTGCAGTGGCCACTCCCGGCCACTGCAGCCTCGACCTGCTGGGCTCCAGCAATCCTTCCGCCTCAGCCTTCCAAGTAGCTGGAAACTACAGGCGCGCGCTACCACACCTGGCTAAATTTTG